AAAAAATTCTTGCAGTTAATTTAAAGTATGCTTTTCTTGCTATGATGGTGTAATTTGCGTCTGAGCCGGTGAACAGTGACAGTTGCCTGCTGTCTCTAAGCTGTCACAGGATATTGATGTGTGTTAAATTCTGAGCAAGTGCTGGTAACATTTAAGCCTAAAATCATGACAAGTTTGTTTGTGGATATCTTCAGTTGATTATGATTGATCTGTCAGGACACCGCATTGAGGAAATTCCTGAGGTCCCACTGGTGGTTGATGATAAAGTTGAAGGCTACAAGAAGACAAAGGAGGCCGTGCTCCTGCTGAAGAAGCTTAAGGCCTGGAATGACATTAAGAAGGTAATTTAATTCAGACCATAAGATAAAGGATTTGATGTTTCAACTACTGTTTGCTCTTAAGGCTGGGTTACATCAGAATGTGTTTGTTTATGAAATGGAAACAAAATGATTGTGGAGTTAATGTGCTCATTTTTAGCTTAAATGAAGTTAAGAGTTCAAATTGTATGAACAGTATAGGAATCGCTGCCCTTTTTGATACAAAAAGTCCTCCGTATTAGGGTGAATTACTTGAGCATATTTCACTTACTTGAAGAAAAGAGTGTCTACTTGTGCCTGTACAAGCATGTGAGGGTAATCTGAAAACAGCTCATCTTTAATATAGTTATTGTGCACTACTAGTACTTTTTCTTTTAATGGGACTATCATTATTTTATATTGTTCCCAGGTCTACGCCTCTCAGCGCATGCGTGCTGGTAAAGGTAAGATGAGGAACCGTCGCAGAATCCAACGCAGAGGGCCGTGCATCATCTACAACCAAGATGCTGGCGTCACCAAAGCCTTCAGAAATATCCCAGGTGGGTTGTTGTGTTAAAATATAGAATTACTGTTGTGTAAATGGTTCTGAGCATCACCTTAAGATTCTTTACCTTTAGTACCAAAACATGTGTAATTCATAAGCAGCTGGTATTAGACTTAAATGAAGATGAGAATGGGACATGGTAGTGACAAGGGCAGTGACACTGCTATCCTTCAGACATTGCAAAACTCTGCATTTATGTGGGTGACATTAATGTTAAATTATGTAATTAATTTTGAAGTTAAGTAAATTTTCTGGCATCATTGGTTATTATAGTTTTAAATCACTAAACATGAAATTGCTCTTTTAAAAGAAGCAACAAGATGATGCACTCAACTTCAGTGTTAAGTTATCGTTTGTGTTATATTGTGCAGGCATCACTCTGCAGAACGTGAACAAACTGAACCTCCTGAGGCTCGCCCCTGGTGGTCACGTTGGACGCTTCTGCATCTGGACTGAGAGCGCTTTCCGCAAGCTGGATGAGCTGTATGGCACCTGGCGTAAACCTGCCTCCCTGAAGGTCGACTACAAGTGAGTATTTGAAAAGCATGCACGCTGTAGCAAAAGAGACACTGGTGTTGGTCATACTACAGTGATGAGCTTCCACTTCATGGTCCGTGTTTTTGAAAGTCTGTGATATTTAACGAAGTTCTGAGTCCAAGCGTCACAAGACTGGTCAGTTTCCTGTTTTGATATGAACATATATTAACCTGAACCTCTTCATGCCTTTTTATTTCAGCCTGCCAATGCACAAGATGACCAACACAGACCTGAGCAGGATTCTCAAGAGTGAGGAGATCCAGAAAGCACTTCGCGCACCTAAGTAAGCACTGCACAGTTTTAAGTGAATGAAATTTGTTTTTGCTGGTCAACTATGATGATGTTCCACTTCAGGTCCGTGTTTCTGAACCCTGATTATATGGAAGTCCTGAGCAATGCAGAGTGTTAATTACAAACGTTGCTGTTTAGCAGTTCACATTGTTAAGACCGTATTACATTGTCATTACAGCAAGAAGATCAACCGCAGAGTACTGAAGAAGAATCCTCTTAAGAACTTGAGGATAATGCTCAAACTGAACCCATATGCCAAAACAGCAAGACGTCATGCCATCCTCAAGCATGACCCGGCGGTAAGAACTTCAACAATTCAAGCTTGAAGCAAAAGTTGTAGATTTGTCAGTTGTGATTTTTGAAATTCTGTTTGGTCTTTCCATAGATCAAGGCTAAGATGCTGAAACCCAAGAAGAAGCCCGGAAAGAAGGGAGCACCAGCCAAACCCAAGGCATAAATTTATACATAAAGACTGGAGTTCAGTGATAATAATAAAAACATTGGTTTCAAATTCATGAGTCAGACATGTCATTCAAAATTTTAATTCACAAGACTATTACACATAAGCTAACAAAGATTTAATCTATTGGTGCTGAAAGGACATGAGGGTAAAAAGAGGAATGTCAAGCACACAGGCTGAGCAGCATTTGTCATGATTAAATAATCTGATCATTAGAAAAAGATGGCTTTTCAGGCAGGCCTGCAATATAGCCCAAAGAATTGTTCAATACAGGTAATTTCACTTGGCATGTGGGTTTGTATACTGAATATATATCTATTGATTGCACAACATTTTGAGTACTTGGTATAAACATAAATATTACCCATAATACAAATCCAGTCAGGGCCTTGGAATGTGTTTGTTGCCAGAACAGATCTCACACTGCGTTGCCATGGGTGGGTGTCACAGGCTGATTGAGTCCAATGGTGCTGCACAACCAGCCAGCAAAGTCGACCTGCTCTGCCTCGGACTGTTTGATAAAAGGATGCACCTGGAGGAATAGAGAGTAGTGTGAGCTGCCAAAGCGATTACTAGTAAATGATAACGCTCAAGCTTGCACACTCACCATCAACTGCTTCAGGTCTGCTCTCTCTGCTGGGTTTTTAATCAAACTGCAATGGAGAGCCAAAACACTTTAGAATGTGTAGTGCATTTCTACACCACTAGGTGGCATAAAGTCTAAGATCTGGACATTCCACTTGTGACATGCTAGTAAATATTTCAGAT